CAAAGCAGCTGACCCCAGGACAGTCTGGGACTAAGGCTGTGAAAAAGAAGAAGAAGAAGATACTTTGGTTAATTCCACTTCTGTTTAAATAAGTATTTTATTTTTTTCCCAAATATCTTATAAACCCTTTTAAGCAATTTTGCACTATTATAGTGCCGTTCTTACACGCAATACTGAAATTATATAATAGCCTAGTGTACTCTGCTCTATAGCGTGTACGTATTCAGCTCATCCGCTGACAAGCCACGTTTTAAAATAACCAGAACGTAGGCTACATAAACACGATAATTATGTCGCATATCCTCGACACCTGTGTACACATTACACAGCCACACATGGTTCTCCTGAGTGGGAACAGGTGTGTCCGCACTCATTAAGTTTTCACGTACTGGAGGTGCTATCACTCTTGCCACACCTGTAAATGTGTAGATGAGACTTTTAAAGAGTAATAAGTTGCGGTTAATTAAACATTTAAAAAAAGAAAAGCGGAGGAACCTCCTTCAGAGGTAAGGCATGAATTTGATTTAGTTTAATTAAGCCCTCCGACAAGTACAGTACTAAGTCCACAAAGTGTGGTTATTCCAGTACGGCGAAAAATAAAAACATTTCATTGCAGTTTATACAAGGTGCTGCATTGATTTTGTTGTGTTAATCTACATAATCGCCATAATCTACTGGAACTATGAGGCAGAACAGTGAAAGTGCACCGAATTAAATTAACGTGTAAACTGAGCTCACTGAATTCATACTGGTGTCTAATTACCTCGAGGGTCCGTCCTGTTAAGACAATAATTCTTCATTTATGTTCAGTGGCACAGCGCTTTGAGATGATGGGCTATATCAAGCCCTGTATAAAATTAATCTTTATTATGCATCTGTAAGGACATTGGGGGCCGCTGATAACTTATTTGTAGTCATCGTAACTATTAATAGTAATTTAGGAAGTAGCAAAATAGTTCAGAAACAATGTTAACGGCACCTTACATGGATCACTAGAAATGATGGATTTGCACGAAGATGAACGATTGCAAATTAATAGAAGATTATAGTACATGCGTGAGGGCCCGTGTGGTAACTGATCAGCAGTGAAGTAAAGCTGTAGCACTCAGATTTTATGTTCACCGGGTTCAGGCTGAGGTCAATTTTTAAAACCCGTGTGCTGTCTCAAACCGACTGGGTATAACGGGGGCAGGTGGATACCCTGCGCAGACAGAGCGGTCGCCGCGTTTAACTGTGTGTCACCAACGCCAGAGGGCGCCGCTGTGGCCTGACTCCACCGTGCACTCCGCAGACGAAACGCCTCACCGCGCCGGACCCGCTACACATGTGCACTGCACTGTCCTTCTGGGCACTGATGGGAACTCGGCGGCCAATAAGAGCAGGGCAGCTCGAAACACATCTAAGAGTAAAATAATTTAATGAAGTACCTCCAACGTGAATCTGCCGAAGGACAGGTGTAGGTATCAGACTACACAGACTTACTGTAACTCAATACAAACTGCAGTAACTGGGGCGCTTTTCCGGCGGCAGGCAATCTGTCCATTTTACTCGGAGGGACGTTGCTCATTAGAAAAGTATCAAAGCTGGCTGACACGATTTAAAAAGAAGCAGTCCGCAGCGTCAGCAGTAATGCCACTGGCGCCTTTAGTCGTTTTTATTCTGATGGCATTACCAGCGGTGACTCGGGGTGGCCAGGAATCATGCCCTGCGATCTGTGACTGCTCAGAATGGGAGGCTCACACAATCACCTGCTTTGATTTAGACGGAATACCTAGATTTCCTACAAACACCGAGACACTGTAAGTATTTTTTTAAAAGATGCATGTGAATTTTACCCCTCAGTGTGGATGTCTTATGGTTGCGAGGATGCTCCTATAATGTGCAACAGGTGAGTGGATTCCGCCTGAGAAAATGTAGTTTTTAACCACATATGAGCTATACTTTACTTCAGATTACTGCCTGCGTCGAGAAATCAGTGTACAAACACAAGTGGCTGAAAAGTTTTTAGATGTTGTATATTTGGGCTTTTAAATATTAATTTCTTGTAGTTTTCAGTTCTTATACTGCATTGTGAAAAAAGCTTTCAGTTTTTGCGTCAATTAAGTTTTTAAATAATTCAGACAGTTAGATTTAAAGGAATTCGTGTGCGTTTGGCGTGCGCCTGTGAATGACTTTACCTGCACGCAATCGGTCAGGTGAGACGGCGTCCCCAACCCGAGTCGTGAAAGGCCCCAGTCCAATTCATCTTCAGGTTGCGTGTTACTAAAGATTGGGGGGGGAAACTGTATTTGATCAAGAAGTACTGTTCAGTTAAGAGGCTCAGGTGCTTGAGGGGTGAAGGGTACTCAAATTGTAGTCCCAAATGAGCTGTAAATTACGCAATTTAACAACCTCCCCGCCCCAGCCTAATTGATCTAAATTTATTTTTCCAAGTCCTTCTAAACTTGTTCTTATGACAGAAAGTTGGGCCAGTTCGGCAGCGCTCCAGTTAGAAACTGCCTGATGTCAACTAATTTGTCGGCGGTCTCTCAGATGCTTGACTGAAGGGCAGTCGCGCTGTTCATAAAAAAGCGATGGAAGAAGTACTGTACATCACAGGCTTACCGCACCTGCGAAATTGGGCTTTTTTTAGTCTTTTTTTTTATGCTCCTGTGACTTGACGCGCAAACCCCTTTGTATCAAGCACGGGAGATGCGTGATTGTTTTCGTATGGCCATTTTGACATTTGTGCTCCATGTCCAGTAAATGAGCGTCCTCTGCCCTTAAGCTAGTGAGTCAGTGCCTTGCAAAGGGAAACGCATCCCACCACACGTGTCCTTAAACTGGGACCTCCACAGTGCTTGGTGTGTTCCCATCTCTGCCCGAACACATCAAATCAACATCAAGCGAGAGAGAGTTTCAGGAAGCATCGAAGGATTCAAGAGCTCCTGTCTCTCTGTGTTTCTGCCTCCAGAGCTCCCGTCTGCTGTTGTCACTGTTGATCTGAAAAATGACGCGTATTAAGGCAGAGAAAACAAAATCGGTAGCATTTATTACCAAAATATTTTCTAGTATTACTGTTTTTAATTTTTAATTCAAAGCAAATGAATGACTTCACAGCTGCCTTGTGTTTCACATACAAGACTCAGTGCCTGTTTCTATCGCTAGTTTTTCTGGAACAGTGTGTGTGGTGCCTTTCTCTCTGCCCAGCGTCTGAACCCATGGCCTTCTAGTCAGTCCAGAGCCCAAACCACTCGCCACTCTTCACTGGTCATAAAGGCAAAGTACTGCTGGAAAAGCAAGGTGAAGGCTCTCCTCTCATTGTTCCTGAAGGTTTGCAACAATGAGACCAGGTTAGACACATTAGACAACACCATCATTAGTTTTTATACCTGCCTTCTTTTCGTGCGAAGGGGATTAAGCTGTGAATTATTTTATTGGTCTTTGTGCCCTCTGCTGAGCACTCAGCCAATATCGAAGGATTCTGAAGTGGGACTCTTGACCAGACACGCTTAGGAGGGTGAGCTGACCGTGCACTCTGGGTTGGGAAGAGAGTAAAATAAATGCTTCTGGACAGTTTATTTCAATTCAATTGACTTCGTCTTGTGTCTTTTTTGTGTTTTCTAACATTTTCAAAAATGGGAAGACAGCCTTCCTTTCCAACTTTAAGAAGGAAAATTGTCATAATAATTACAGTTTTATTATCCCCTGGGGGAACTTGGTTTTAGGGCAGAATACAACCCAACCAGACAAACCTCACCCACAACAAATCCAGTATATCCGGCTACAGGAGATGCAGTGCTACATGCACTCGCCAGTCCTTGTTTAATACTTGCTGCAGCCTGAACGTAGCGGTGTCATTGAAGTGATGAGTCGAGGTGCTGGCGCAGGCAGAGAACCTGGAGGTGGCAGGAGCACCACTGGCGTGCACACAAACCAGCTGTTTGGATTAGAGAGCATTTTGCCCAACTTCCCACATGCCATTGTCTCTATGCAGGATCGTCCTGTTATAAATGATGGATTATGGGAATATTTAAAATCCAGGTGAGCAGCTGTTTTGCCTTTATTAGAATTCCTCAGTGCAAAAGCTAACATCGACCAGTTGCTATTGCATGATATCTACTATCTATATACAGTACATCGATTTTTATTGTACAAAAGCTGGAGTATCTTTAGATACTTTCACTCTACTTAATGTTGCGAAAGAAGCAGGAAATAATTCATATGAATTCACGGTGACTGCTTACTACTAATTACACGACGTAGACCTGAAACGTGCTTCTCGTAAGACACTGCAGGGCGTTAGGAGTCTAGGCAATGACTGCTTATATGTGGACGAAAAACAATCGGGAAGGAATTCGATCAGAAATCCTGACGACGGGTATTGATTTTTTTTTCTTACCAGATTACTTCCATTGAAGACGTCATAGAGTGAGAATTGATACAAAAAGAAACTTCTTTCTGTCTTTTAAAAGTAAACAGATGAAAATTTAAACAGCTGCAAAAAGAGAATTGTTGCAGAATAAAGTGTAATTTGTTCAAAACTTCACTGGGGTCACAGGAGCCTCTACGCTCCATCTGAAAGCAGCGGTGATACAGCAACTCATCCAGAAAGCTGACTGCATCGCATTCAGGGATCAAATTCCAGCGACCACACCAGACTATCAGCGGGGACACACTATTAGGAGTAATTTCTTTTCAACAGACAGGTAGTTAATTTAATTAATACATGAGTAGAAACATTATACCGGTAGAAGCTACAGAACCAATGCTCCCTTACATTGACAATAAATACAATACACCAAATATCAAACAAACAAAAAAACAGCTCTTATGTGCAATGTAATGTGCAAAAGAGCATTCCCGTTTTCAAGTGTGTTTTTGGGCTTCCAGTTGGCTGAGCCAGGCGGCAGCTCTGAGCTTGTGGTCCCAGTCAGAGACCAGTGGAGGAGAGGCAGCTGTGTCCCCCGCCGCCATCCTCCATGAGCCTCGGCGATCTGGGTGTGCGGGGGTGTCGTGTTGTCCCGCCAGACAACGGCTGCAAAACAGAACCTGGCGGAACAAGGGGCAATGGCCAGGAAAGAAACGCAAACCAAACACAAACGCGATGTTAGCTAGCCTGCCTGCTGCCCCCCTGCCGTTCTTCGGGACCCTTCAATACGAGAGCAGACGCCCCAGCTATGTCGCGTTATTGACGCTCGCTGAACCGAATGTCTTCCCGGGCTGTTACACAACAGCACACATTCCTCCTCCCCTCGTTCAGCGCGACTGAGGGAAGCCTGGCCAACCTATCAGATGAAATTTTCCAAATCGTTGCCCCAGTTCAAAATCCCAGATTAGATGCACTACAGATGATCTGAATTCATGAAATTCAACAGCCTGCGCACACTCCTTCTATAAACTCGTATATAAATTGGGATCAGTCTAAGGTTTTCAAAACATTATGATGGATAAAGGACACCGTGGCACACTTTCTCATCCAGTGCGTTGCAGATGTCACAATCTGTTTCCTGGAATGGCAGAATCTGTCCGAAGTGTTTCCGACTGCTAGATGTTAAGGTTTCGAAGACATGTACAGTAATCACACATCCAGACGTAATGCCTGATGATAGATCCTGTTAAACCAATGATCTGATAATATGTTGTTTTCTTTTTTTTTATCTTTTAAAACTTTTCATTTGACGTTTAATTCAATTAACTGTGAGAGAGTGGGAAATAGCCAACAACTGTCCTAATTATACTGTAATTAGTCTTCATGTTTCTAATGAAGTCTCCAATAGTTGTTTATTAGTGCCAGGCCCCGCTGCGCTCCGGGAGTAAACTCGGCTACTAATAAGACATTCTTTTCCTCCTTTTCAAAAGGCTGAATAAAAAACCAATCCATAAACTCGGGAACTCGGGAACGTAAGTGATAGGTTTGTCTAATGAAAAAATACTTTTTAGAAAGAGACCAGATGAAGAGACAGAGGAGGCGTTTCTCGTGATGAAGGGAAAGCTCTTACAAGAGCCTTATGAAAGAGACATGGAGAAAATGTGACTCAAGCATAAAAGCGTGATTTAAAAAAAAAAGGCACTTTAATACTGTTTTTTCAACGTGTGCCACTCGTAGCAGTGTGTCGCTTCATCTTGTCCTGGGGGAAAGACAGCACCTCCACACAGGCACAGCTGCATCAGTTCAGGCACCTCTGAGCTGCCACTTCTGCAGCCTCGAAGCTCCTTTTCTCTCAAGAATAAGACAGTCTTGCCAACGCTTGGTGTTAAAAAACATAATCAGACTTGTATTTCCATGATAAGCTTTTTTAAATCACGCCGTTCGTGGCACTATCTACTACCATGTCTGGAACTGCTACAGTCTTCTTATCTTCCACGGCCACGACTTACTATGTGTGCTTGTTTGACCTGCCTCCCCTCTTTAAAGGGACACAGATGTAATGCCCAACTTTGTGAATGTATAGCCCCCAAATAACTGCAAACTGGCCTTTCGCATGCAAGGGGTGTTTAGGTTTAAAGCCAGGGAGGTCAAAAACAACCACCCAGAGCACCTGGAGGCGAAGCTGTCAAGAGAAGGATCTTGCAGCGCTTTGGCTCACGAGAGTCTGTCGATTAAAAGTGTGGAATCGGAGAAACAAAAACCATCGCAGGTGGTGATAGATGAGAGCAAACAAAAAATAAAAAAGAGTGGATTGCAAATCGTCACAGTGGTGGCTTAACTAAAAATTCGTTTTTTGTTGAAAATGCAAATTTATACTGTGAATTTTATCTCGGTAAATCAGCTGCTTTGTTTTTAATAAAGGTACTTTTTAAAATTATTTCCTCATTTAAAACTTAAGTTCAGGAATGAGATCCATTACAGAAATGTTTTAACACAACTGTGCCCCAAAAACCTAAGACCAGATCAATTTAAAAATATTTGTCCACCAAAAAGTACAGAAAAAAAACACAAATACAGAAATAAATAAGCCCAGAATAAATGTGAAAATTGTGTTATTTCAAACTAGAGCATAATTTTTGTTCAACGTTTTTAAATAAAAATAAAGAATCCAAGTTTTATTTTGTAAATTATAAAAAAACGTAACAAAGGATTTGTTACTTGTTCCCATTCCATTATTTTCCCTATCATTAAATAAAGACCTGCCAACCTCTGTATTGGATTGGGAATCAATCTTCTGAAATAGTGAAGATCTAAAAAAAATATGATTATATGATAAGGAACAAGTAATAGGTTTATTCCATGCTGAAAAGAGAAGAAAGAAAACACAATGTTTCGGCTGTAGAGCCTTCTTTGGGTTCCTTTACAGTCTATGCATGGTGACGCAGCTCCCCACCTGATTATATGATACAGTAGTTGTCATGTTAACAACGTGATAGTATGTCCATCCTGTTTTTCGCCAAGTTAATCCTGCCTAACACTGTATCCGATAAAGAAGAGCGTTACAGTAAACGATTACAATTATTATTTTAAGCGGTAGTAAATCACTGTGCTTAAACTTTCTTGGATAATGCGCATATCTTTTTTCTTCAATTCATGCAAAAAATGTTTGGTGTTTTTGCATGAATTGATTGACAACATATAATCCTTAAGCATACATTTTGTAGACCAAAGCCTTTATAATATAAACGCAATCAAGCAGTGTGTTTGACCTTGTGGCTGGGACTCTGGATTCTTAACCTCAAGCCAGTTCCCTCAGATTGCTTCAGTAAAATACCCAGTTGTACAAATGCAAGTCCTTTTGGATAAAAGCGCCAGATAAATAATTTCATAACGGCAGCATCTTTGAACCCAAGTCCTTCTCATGTATGTGTGACCCAGACATCTCCAGGGGTTTTCTGTTCACCAAGCACTTTAAACCTTCTCTTCCAGAGAGCTCTCCTTCAGCCTGACCTCCTACCTCGAGAGCTCAGTCACCCAGTCTGACTTGAGCTCTTGTGGAATCAGCCAGCGTGGTAGCGTAGCAACACGTGCTCACTGATCAGCAAATCTCAGTCACGTGTTTGTCATTGTGAAAACCTGTTTAACTATCGGAATCCTAATTGCTTTTTCGAAATTAAAAGTATTAAAAAATCTTATGCAGTGCTATTAATCGCTGGATTACTGAGACATGGTATCATGCACACGATAGTGTAATCAGAATAAAAACCAGTGAGATGAAAAATATTTATCAAGACACATCGTCATAAAAAGATGTACTTGTACTGTACTTACCCTTTGGATTTAATATTTGATAGAAATACATTTCAGACTAATATTACACTAATACAAAGACCATAAGACAGCAGCTCTCCAATGAGTTGAATATACCTACAGTATATATAATATACCTTAATGAACTGGCAGGCCAGTTTGCTTGTATTATAAAGAAGTTATAAGACTGAGATTCCTAAACCCAAAAAAAAAGCATAGATTATTGCCTTGCCTACTATTCTCTGTGTTTTGTTTTACAAATGTTTCTTTTTGTCCACATTCTTTGGTTACCTTCATGTATGATCACCGAGCATTTCATTCTGTTAAAACAGCGGTGATCCCCACTATATACAGGCTGAAATGCAGTATGTTTTTATTTCAAACGAAGAGACATGCCTGTGATGTGTGTACAGTAGTGGTACTGTTTAATCATGGGCTGTTTATTTTAATTTGTCAAGGTACACCTCATTTTTGGTTTCTCTCGGGATTTTTCTCGGGAAAATCCAACCTTTCATTCCAGTTCCCAGTCCTGGATTGACTCACTGTTCAAGAAAAACGCTGTAGTGAGATCCCCTATCTTACAGTATATTTGCAAAGTTGTATTTTAAAATCCAGTACAGTAGTAACAAAGTGATAAAATTCATGAGTAATTATTTGGAAGATCTGTGTGAGAATACAACCAGCATACCCAGAATCTCAAATTCATATCTGTAAATTAATATTCCAGTTCAAATTCTTACACGGAATACCTCTCTATACAATTACGATTAGTCTTCAAGGAATAGTTAAAGTTTTATCTATTTCAGCATCTATTTAAAACTATATTTGTTATTTTTATATTAATGTTGAATTTATACAGTTTGTTTAGGTGCTACATCCGCCTTAACAGGTGTGCACATCTGTTCATTACTTTATGTGGTACCATTAATATTCTTTAGATTTTTTCTGAAAATCGAAATTGAACATACAATTGAGTTAATGTGAAAAATACTTAATCACATCTCAGACCACTCAATGAGATCTGATATCTTATACCTGCAGTTTCGTAGGCACTGGCAGACAGGCTGCAGAAGTGACTGACTGAAGGACACATTCCGTCTTCAGATTTGCATTATTCTGTTTTCAGGCCAATCGTGTTCTAGATCTGTACTATTGTAGTAATAATAATTGCTTACACTTATATAGCACTTTTCTGGACACTCCACTCAAAGCGCTTTTACAGGTAATGGGGTTCCCTTCCACCCC